CCTGTGTTTATTAGTGATTCATGTATACTTCCCTCCGCTCTTTTTTTATGTTTATTTAGCAAAAATATATCTTGTCCCCATTATTTTCTGGAAGAAATCGATTTCGACATCGATAAGACCGCCTATTGTACTTCCTTTTACATTCATTTGTTATTTTCAATTTTATGTTTTTGGATGATATTTAAAGTTTTATATTTAAAGTTTGGATTTGGATTGGAAGCATGGATATATTTAAAGTTTTATAATTTTTTAATATATTTATACTATATTTGTTTATAGAGTTACCTCGACAAATTAAAACTGGGAGAACGTAAACACTAATTAACTAACTAATTATAGGGAAAATTTCTGTATGCATATGGCATTCAATCTTAATAATACTATTGAAGAATTTATCGCGCTCTACTTGCAAGTCATCTGGCTGCTTTATATTTCCCTTACCTTTTATTATCTTATAAAAAATCTGTTGATATCTTTTTTTACAAATGTATGAATATGATTCTATGACCTTTCTCTTTTTCTTTGGACTGTTCTAAGTTTGTAAAGCGATGGTATTTTGTCGTTCGAAAATGCTTGACACTAGCCTAAATTGAATAAAATGAATATTCTACCGTGAGACTAAGATAGGGAATAGGAACGTATAGATGGAAGTTTTTAACAAAAATCACTGGCTCGCAATTAATATGACGGCGATGAAATGCCAATAAAATTAAGGACCATAAAAGATTCAATGACATTTAATTAAGTGTAATGAGCGTTCATTTTAATTCGACCACCGCGACACGTGATCTCCTCTTAATGACACTGATTTCAATGTCCGCTACTTACTAAAAAATACGTTACCATATTATCATAGCGTTTCTATGGGTAGAAATTACATAAGGTATCAAAAGTACACTTCACCAAACTTAAATAGTTTGTGATCGGAGTATCTTAAAATAGGAATTCAAATCGGATTGCGTTAGTCCTTACGTGCAAGAAATATTGTTAAATGAAAATCAAAAAGCTCCTGTGGTAGTGCCACTTCTGCTGGCGCACGAATTGGCAAAATCATCTGGAGAGTAGATACTCTCCAGATAGACCTCATAGAAGTCGAGCGTAGCACCAACTTTTTCTAAGGTTGTCAATGCCAGATGCATTGACAACCTTAGAAAAAGTTGGTGTAAACCTTTAAGAGTTGTAGATGTCTATGGACGGCGGAAATCACTTAATATCAGGTGCACTGCCAAGCCGTTTCGTTTGAAAAAAATTTATTATGTAAAAATTTTTCAAGCGAATAGTGATGACTCCGTGGCACAGTTGCCAAGGTATTGGCTTCGTCGTCGGGGTCGTAGGTTCGATTCCCACATGGGACAACTATTTGTGTGACCCACAGGTAGTTGTTTCGCATCTGGGTGTTTGTCCGCGTGAAATTTATGTTTGTAAAACGTCCCTACAACACAGGATAATGTTCTCCTAAAGTAAGGGCAATGTTTTTTTAAAACAAACAAATAAAGTGCGCCTCTCCTATCATGTATGTGAAACAACGACATTGTCTCAATTTTACAATAATAAAGGCGAAGTAATATATAATAAGGACAAAGTAAAAATATATAATTTAAGTAATATATAAATGTATAGTAGAGTGTATACATATCGATTTTAATCAAGGTGTATTAAATTCATTCACAGTAACAGAAATCGCTTAACTTTCACCACGACAATTACGCATGCATGTCGGTAGCCAACTCGAATCTGAATCCCGTTTTACACCGAGGCTTTCTTGTTAATGAAAAGAGATTTCATCACAGCCGAACAAGGTTTCAATTGCGGAAATTCGGTATAGACAGAGAAGAGTTTTATTATATTCCTTTCATCTAAATATGGCTACGAAAATAGCCAAGTTTCGGTGGCAGTCTATAAGCATACTGTTTTACGAAAATAACGCTAGCATAGATAGAAAAAGACAAGTATAAAAACAGGGCATTATACATTCCTGCCTCAAGGTCGTCTATCGCATAACACTTGTTAGTACAAACGTGTATGTGCGTCAATCGACCCGCAATTAGTATACAATCGCTAAAAATGTTAAGCGATGACAAAAAAAAAGATCGGTGATCTGTATTCTTGTCGTGGCATGTAACTTTTAAGTTTTTGCTGACGGTTGTTGGAGCAAAAAATATAATAGTCTTAGGACTTAACAAAAATCTAATCTAAAGCTATTTTTAAACACATATTACGAGATGATGATGGAGATTTAGAATTCAGTAAGCTAATATAGAAGTGATAAAAGCTTGTCCCATAATATCTCTACTCAAACACTTTTCACGCAAGTTTAAATCCATACTAATATTATAAATGCTTAAGTAATTCTGTCTGTCTGTCTCGGTTTAACTCCAAAAATACTGAACAGATTTAAATGAAGTTTGGTACACAGTCTAGAGCCTGAGAAAGGACATTTTAATTGGATTTTTTTTAAGAAAGATATTTATTTAAGGGATTCAACGCGTACGAAGCCGCGGGCAAAAAGCTAGTATTAGATAAAACTTTATAGATGTCTCACTGCTGGGAAAAGGTCTTCTCTGTATAGTGATATCAGAGCAGTGGTAACACTGCGGATGGGCGGACTTTACATACCTGTACATATCGAGCCGTGATAGCTGAGCCGTGATAGCTCAGTGTCCGGGCGCTCGCCTTTAATTCAATATACTCGAGCAACCTGAGTTCGATCCCCGGTGCCGGCACCAATGAAGTTTTTAACTTTAAGTGCTGACTTATCACGTGCTCCACGGTGAAGGAAAACATCGAGCGGAAACCTGCATATTTTCGAAATAATAACAAAAAAAAATATATTTCGAAGATATGTGAAGTCCGCCAATCCGCAGTGGGGCCGCGTGATGGACTATGTCCTGATACCCGCTGTATAGAGGAGGCCTTTGCCCAGCAGTGGGACGTGTATAGGCTGTTACCATACCACCACATATCTTTGAAATATTTTGTGTTCGTTATTATTTCGGAAACATGCAGGTTTCCTCACGATGTTTTCCTTCAGAGCATGTGAAAATTAAGCACTTAAAATTAACACTCAGGTTCGAGTATGTGGAATATAAATGGAGCGCCAGGAAAATTAGTTATCACGGCTCGAAAAAATATAAAATATATTAATTTAACTGTTAAATAGACATTGAAAATACCTGCTTACAAGTTCTCTAACCCATGAGTCCATCGACTCTCATATTATGATACTGTAATGCGGGGAGTATTCAGGTGACGTTTTTAAAGTTCCTGCACAATCTTATTGCATAAGAGATATTTCTCGATCTCATTTTTGAAACAAACACTGTATATTTTCCGAGTTGCTATTTACTTTGTACTTAAATTATTATTATTAAACACAAAACTCTATAATATTATAGGAATTAATTCACATTTACTCTAACGTAAAGAAATATTACCCTGTTTGCTGCTTACTTTATTCAATGAGCGGTTTACGTGTGTCTATATATTGCAACTTGACCATTAATGTTATCCATAACAACTTGTTTAACATATTTATTATGTGGATACTCCAAATATTGTCCAACACCTCCAGCGTAGGAAAACATTCGGTTTGTATATGATTGTAGATATATATATACATACTTTAGCTCTTTTAAGTAAATGTCACACCGTGACTATGAATTTTGGAAATTATTATGGGACTGATTCACATTAGATATTATATCGTATTGTAATATTCATAATGTTATGTGTACTTACTATGTTTTTAATCACTTTTGTATTTATATTAAATACACAAGAATATGTGGATATGATTGCTTCTTTGAAGGGGCTGAACAAATTTAAATGAAATTTGAAATAGCGGTAAGGTAAGGTATACCGATTAAGATGGATTGATTCAGAGGATTAACATTCCGCGGAAGTTTAATGAAAATTACTCTGAGGAAATTAAATTAAATTAAATTAGAAACCACAATAAAACCCGAAATTAAATATTAAATCATTTTAATTTTAAATAAAAATGTAAAGTGTATTTATAAGTATATGAGATAAGCTGTTAAAATTGCTCACATAATGTTTTTTTTAAATATTATTTAATCCGAAGATTTATAAACGTACGGCCATATCCGCAGATCTTCCTACTATGGACTAGCTGCGGATGAATGCATATTCGCTAATTTAATCTACAAATTTTTATTATGAGTAACGCGACATTTGCGTCAAACGGCCCCAGACTATATTTAGATGAACCACTGGGCTGGTGATAAGAGAATAATATTAGTAGCAGTTAGGATCGATATTTTTATAAGTTAGTAATTGGGTAATTCATGGTAATTTCATGAATAATGAAATTAAATTAGTCCAAATGCATCCGACATCAATGTTCTTTGCAATCAATGTATTTGCCTGATCAAATCGACGCACGAAGGATCTTGAAACCATTACGAGGCATGTTTTACGTTAAAAGTTTTAATCCGTATTTGGATAACTAAATTAATTAATAATAAACTATTGACAAATTATAAATTTATTTTGAGATAAGTATTATAAAACGTGGTAGTGTTCCATTAATTGAAGATTAACGCGAAATATGTGTTGTGAGTAATTAATGAAGCACAGTTTTACTATGAATGATTTCAGCTGGTAAACCGCATGTGATTCTGGTGAACTAATTATTGAAATACCGGGAATAAGAAATGTATATTGGACCTAAGCCGGTGGCGCTTAGCTGCGGGTCGAACGCACGCGCTTATCTCCCAGCGTCAACACACGCTGTGTAATAAAACGTATCCAATTAGCTTCGCACTCGCCGCCTCTAAGCGAGCGAGCGTCGTCTAGTGCATGAACCGCGAAGAACCGACGCGCATTCAGTCTTCGAGTGACGTCCGGACGCCGCGGCCGCATCGCGCTCAAACAAAGCGCGGAACGCGATCGAAAAACATCGTGTCAGTGGTAAAATGTCGTTGACCCTCCTCCCGAAGACCGGCGGGAGGCTGTTCTTTGCCGCGTGACCGGACAAAATGCCGGAGTGCACCGAAACGTTCCCCTTCTCAATACCGATCATCCGGTACACCATGGAACCGGAGGACAGGGCTGAGAGGCAGCAGGCGGCGGGGCTCACCAAAAAGATGTCCCTACTGACGCCCGTGAAGATAGAGGCGCCGGATAGCGGGAGGCGTCTCTCCGAGCCGACCCGGTATTACATACCGCCGCAATGCAACAACAGACTATCGCCGAGGAGCGCGAGGAAGCGCGACTCGAGGAGGAGCTCCAAGTCGGAGCTGAAAGTGGACTCGCCCGTGACGTTCGGCCCCAAGCCGTGTAACTGTGAGGATTGCAGGTCGTCTAGTCCGTTGCCGCCAGGGTACGGACCGCCGACGATGTCGCCGGGCTACGATCAGATGAAGAGTTCTTTGTTGGACGAGCCCTGGGTCGAGGAATTCACGGAGGCGTCCAGCGACGACCTGAGCTCCGAGTGGGATTCCGACGTGCCCGAGCCGGCATCGCCACCGCCGAAGGTAAAGCGAACGTTCGATTAAAAAACGACCATTAAACCGGGAACGTAATCGAAATGAATTTTACCTGATCCTTTTGTTTTTCGACGCGGACAATGTATTGTAAAAACAATTTTATATCGACGCTGGTCTGTGAGTACGCATGCGAAACCTGAAAGCGTAAGACGAGTAAAAAAAACTGGATATCGATAGAGCGCCACGATACAACAGAATTCGTAATTAGCGTACTTAATTGAATTGCAAATTGAAACGAAGCTTTCCGAAAAACCTACGTAATGACACTCTTGCATATATTTAAATTGGAAATGGTACGATTTCGTTTTTATCATTAACAACCGGTTAATGATAAAAACGAAATCGTACCATGAAAGGAGTTTTTGTTCATTAAATTTTATTTTATTTTTATACATAATATGTCGAAATATAAATGTATCGTAAAGTAAAAATTATGAAATATTTAAATACTTCAAAAAATTAAAAATTAATATTAAAAATAGGAAACGAAGATAGGTTCATATCTAGGCATCGAAAATTTTTCAGTAATTTATTTTATAGCGAATTTCTCTTAACTCTACTTAGTATTATTCTTAATCGTAACTTTACATAAGCTGTTAAGGATACTTGGAAATACAACGTTATCAAGATTTTTACTCCTTTCAATACTATAAGTATTATAAATAACAACTTTTACTGGAATATTTATTTTAACACTAAGCTAGAATAATTCAACATCCCATACAAAATCTGTAATTGCTTGAACATAGATAGAGTCGGCATTTAAATTTACATTTTCGAAGATTTCAATTACGTTGTGGTTATCATTACCTCTAGATACAATTGCGGAAGTTTTTAATTAGCTTTTCAATCAAGCTTCACAAAGCGTTTGACGAATTAAAAAACCCAGTGATGCATTAAAATTGCAGTTTTGTGACTTTTTGCAAATGTTCGCAGTAGTAGTGTAAAGCAATATGTCGGTATTGTTTTTTCTTATAAAGCTGCATCTTAAATAGTATACCGCAATAATGGCAAATGACTGTAATGGCTACATGATACGAGTACCGCTGGTAAAACTCTTAACCTTTATTTGTTTTCCACTGATGTCGAAACATTTCGATTTTATTATAAAGAGTAATTTGACACCAATCAACTATTTAATCGTCAGGGAACCACTAACAGATTTTTTTTTTTCATCTATTTCAATATATAATGCAAAAAGCAACGGTAAACACTTACTTCTAATATACTCCGTTCATACTAGTCTTATATATTAGCAAGGATTTTCTTCAACAGTGCCAAAGCAAAACGTCTTAGAATTGATTAATGACTATGGTACTTTCTGTCTAGAGTATTGTAAACGAGTATATACTTGACATTGTCAGGTATAACAACATGAAAATTAAAAAAAAAAACCCATGTTACTAGACGTGAGCTGGCTGATCAGATACCAGGAACTTAAGAAGAACAGGCTATATTTTTATATGTATTTTAGGTATAATGATCAAGACTAAAATATTTAAAATTATAAAGTTAAAAAAATATAATATAACTAGAGCGTAATTTGTAAGAAACAATAATATTTAGTTATTTCACTTGTTGCCCTTTAATCTATACTAGTATAACACGTTTTTTAAGTGCGTCGATTTTCGTTATTACTTCGTATCGTTAATACCTTGTCGCGTGAATGGCAAGATGGCACTTACAAAAATTCATAATAGACTTATGAATTTTTTGTTATGAAAACAATGGTTTCTCCTTAAAAAAAATTATATAAATGTATATAGGTATAATGGGTAAATGAAATTGGACATTGCCTTATAATTCAATGCTATACAAACATAGGTGGGTAACGTGTTATTTTATGACTAATTGGTATTCATTACGACTAACTTTTACGTATATGCCGATAATAACAATAGAATAGGTTGCCAGTGCAGTTATGTGATCAAATAGGCTCCAAAACCGAAGCAAGAGAGGCCTGTTTCAGGAGGTAGTAGGTAGGCACTTAGGATATCTGCATAAATTGAAACCGTATTATTGATTTGCACGCGTTAAGTTTGCTTTTAAATTACCGACATCACATCATATGTCATGACCATGAAAAGTAGTTGATATTTCGAAAATTAAAGACAAAATTAACGTCAATAAATATAATTTTAATTTTTTTTTATTATTTAATTCCAATAATTAGTAATATTGTTGATATCCGATACATGTGTTCCAAAATATTTTTTTTTATTTTAATATAAATATAAGGTCTAATAGTAACCTCGTAAGGAATTATTGATTTTATTTTGTACATATTCTAATTCTAAACTTTAAAAATAGATCGAATCTACGATTATCATTAGGTATATACGATGAGAGCGCTTAAAGACGTTCTCAAACTTTGTCGTATTACTGTAAAGAATTGCTGACAATGATTTGAATCATGAACTGGTTCACCAACGGCCTTGATATTGAAATTATCCTAATAAGACTTGCTAAAGCAATCAGTGTCAAGAATAAGTCGTAAAAATATCAGCTAATATAATTGTAATAACTTCGTTCGTTATCTTTTTAATGCTGACAATTTACTGCTTTATTAATAAGCAATCAAAGAAAAAAGTAGGTACCTTAATTTAATTCAACTTTGTGCTATTTATTACTACATATTTATTTTATTAAATATTTAATCTATTGTTTGCTACGGCTCTAAAATATTTTGATATCAAAAGTGCACTATTATTTTGAAAAACTTGTATTTCCGTATTTATAGGGCTGGATAATTTTATGGTCACGTTTCTGTCCTTTTGCTCATTTAAAAATGTGTATGGAATGTTTTGGAAATTGTTCGGTAACTATGCCCAATTTTTCTCGGACGTATTTAATTTTTTACGGAATATACGAGTACATTCTATGTATTTATTAATTTACGAGTAAAATTTTACCCTAACAATACACCGCGCCCTCTTGGCGCTGATTAAAAATAGTTGGGACAATTATTGTAACAATGCTTCTTTATTTTAAATTTTATTTAGATAAAATCGCCGGTCAATATCCAGTTTGTAAGAAAATTTTCAGAACTTCATACCTTCTTGAAGATTAATGGAATATCTTGGTATTATGGGTTAGTTAGTTATAAATACTAAGCCGTTAATAATCTGGTCGTTATTTATAGTTTATGAGAGAACATAAACAGGTTTATCTGCATGTTTTATTTTTAGAATCTTTATTGGGTTCTGTTTGTTCGACCTCTTTCCTGATTGTAAAGTTATTATTTTTCTTTATCTCAGTACGTTCTCTTCGACTTAATAGTGTGTATGTAGTGTATTAAATACAATACAAAGACTGATTTGCATACAAATGTGCGGTCTATGTATGATATAATACATTTAATTATTGCTTATGACGGCGGGTACAAATCACCGGAAATGGAGGAAATACACATGTACCATCATGTTGAATTTATATATATATATCTATACTAGCGGAGCCGACAGAAGTTGTCCTATAAACACGACAGAAATATGAAAACAACTAATAAATAAAAACTTAAAAAAATGTGGACTGAATTGTAATCTAAACCATTCTCGAATCGACCTGAAGACGTACAAAATTTCATTAAAATCGGTCCAGTTTAGGAGGAGTTCAGTAACATACTCACGTACAGAAGAATTATATACATAAAGATTATACCACAGTCATCCAAGCGAAGAAGGGATTGAATTAGGGACACCGCCAAGAGCTATCATTGATATATTTCGATGGGTATTGTGTCGAGCACCGATACTTTCACTTCTAATTGGTGTCAGTGTAGTTCTCGCAAGTTTACCGTTATTCAATTGTACATAGGCCACGATTGTTCTCGTTAAAACGGGACATTATTATAGTAAAGAAGCTGCGCGATTGGAAAAAAAAGTTCATTGTAAGTTAGAATTTAACCAGATCTTTTAACCGTCTCATACTGGATCATGAAGTTTGTCTATCTCATGAAGTTTACCTTAAGATATTGATTTTAGAAGAGATATTGAAGTAAGCTGACATTTTTAATCGTACGGCCTGTACGTGCTATGTTAAACTTGTCCAATAACATAAAGCAAAATACGAAATCCTAAGACGAATAAGCATTTGATCACATGGTTCAACAATTTATCACGTTCATAGTGTAGTACACCATGGTGCACTTTTCTACTACTTTTCAACCGGGTTCTACTTTTTGTGGATCCTTATTTACCGGGGGAATATCTGGACTTATTTGAGGCGTTCAGGAGCGGTGTCCATTCCTATTAAATAAATTCTTGTTCAGTTCCTCTGGTATTGTGATTGTCCATGGGTTAGGGTCATCACTCACCATCAGTAGTGAAACTTGCACGTTTTCCACCTTCCGCGGAAAATAATTTTCATAACACATAAAACCAAAAACACGATGAATTAAGAAGTTTCGCCTACACAATTCGGCAATAAACATGATAATAAAGAACATAATTCCATCTAGTAACCAAATTAATGGTGGTCTCACAGTTTGCTGTACTGGTTACCTCTTTTTTCCACGCGTTTAGAATAATATCACATTTTCCGTGAATGTGAAGAATGAAACATTTACATTGACCGTGCTTTTTTTTTTACTTACGTTTGTATACGGCTTCAAAACTTTTAATATCTATAAATGCGATAGCTTTTGTTTGGGTAACTCGAAGATCTTTTGGCTAAATTGGCTGTGTCCATACAGTGAATAAATACTAAGATAACTATTTTCTTAATGTCTTAACAACTTCCACTTCGACCGGTCGTTAGCGGCCTGCATCCAACGCGTCCCTGCGATCTTGGGTATTTTTATTGTGTGGTAAATAAAATTTTCTCTATTTTCATCTAATTTATTTTATTTTCCCCTTTTTATGTTATAGACACATCCGAAGTAGGGCATTGTTTACTATGAGTTAATTAATATAAAAACCGGTCAAGTGCGAATCGGAATCGCGCACGAAGGGTTCCGTGCCATTATCAATACAAACGGCGAAAAATCATGTCTGTTGTATGGGAGA